TCCTGCTATCCCTCTCCCTCCCCCCCCCTCTCTCTCTCTCTCTCTCTCTCTCTCTCTCTCTCTCTCTCTCTCTCTCTCTCTCTCTCTCTCTCTCTCTCTCTCTCTCTCTCTCTCTCTCTCTGCTCAATCATTATTCATGTAATAATAATTGATGCACTTTGCCAAACCTGAAAGAGCTTGCTTAAAACATTCGAATTTGGATTCGGATAAGTGATTCCTATCTGCCTGTCACGACTCTGTACTTGTACTCACACTAATTCTAATAGTCGGCTATTCTCTTGCAGAGACCGATTTGCCCTGCCTCAGGACGTTCGGAAAGGGGGGGGGGGGGCGAAAACAAAAACAAATTAATTTTAAAGCACACAAATAAAAACAAATATACGAAACCCTCTTGTTTTTTGTTGATTAATTGCAAACAGAAATGCCCTGACACGCTCGGATCGTCCGGCCTTTTTCTTATACCGGTATTAGATCTAAATAATATTTTCATTTTCCTTTTATTTTCTGGCAAGGCCTTAGACATAGAAGCAAAATTAATTTTTAGGCCAAGCGACTAAGTGAATAAACTGCTCATAAAATGTGGTTGTTTCTTGTGTACACATCGGAGAACATAAAGAAGGTCGGCCAAGGCAAAATATTATTATAATCCCAGGGCACCAGTTTGAATATAATATATATAATACATATATTTATGTATATGTTCGCTTCAAAGCACAAGCGGGGTTATCCCGAAAAAAAGCTGTTTTGAGTAAATCGAAGGTAAAGTTTTTGCACCTTGTTCAGTTTCTTCAAAAGACAAGGAGAGTTTTCTCAATAACCAAACACATACACACCAATGAAACCAAACTTCTCCTAGGGCTTTTGGTGTAGGTCAAGATTTCTGGAAAACCTCGAAATCTGGGTTAGCCCGCTTGTCCTTAAAAGCGACCATTATAATTATATCAAGGGGGTTTATTAAGGTCGCGATTTTGAGAAAACGGCCAATAAAGAAAAATAAAATATGGACTTTATGAGGAAATGGCGGTGACAAACATGCCCGGTATGGAAAAAATACAGGGTTTTTTGGGTTCTTATGCGATGAAATAGTTGTAGGCGAGGCTGAAGAAGCTAAAAATGCCTACAACTCAAATTCCATATGATTTTGAGCCGAATCTTGACTTTGGGGGTATAGCCAGGGCCATCGAGAGCCAGGTCGGGCCCTGGGGGCAGCAATCACCTTCTGGCCCTCTCCCTCCCGCCCCCCCCCCCCCCCCAGCCTCTTTTGTCTCGTCCCCCTCCATCAAGTGCTGGGTGTTGTCCACATGACATTTTTATGTTTTTGATTTACCGGGTCGTTAAAAATGAAGGTAAGATGAATAAACCAATGACAAAAATTAAAATAAATCGTAATGTAGCCTACCCTTGTTTCTTACTACAACGGAGCCCATGGGGTTTAGCTCTAGCAAAACTGTCAATTATTGGTTCGTAGTCCAAGTTTCGCGCTAGACTGGCCTCTATGGCCAAAATTCAAAGACTTGTGAATCTGTCTCGACACAATGTGGGCCGCAAAATGTTTTTCACCCGAGAATGGGTACTGAAGGAACGTTCAGCTTGCGCAACTGTGACAGGCAAGGTACGTAAGATTCTCAACATGATTACAACGTTTGGAAACGAAGCTTCTAGTTTCAGGGAATGAAGTCTGTTCAGCTACTGAAGAGGCGGCAGGACATTTTCTCCAATGTTCGCTGAATGAATCACTTTCAAATGTTTCATCTCTTGCACAAGGTCTGCTGATGCATTCACTGCATATTTCGTTTGCAATTTGTTTGCAAGATCACGAATAATGCCGACTTCCTCTTGGAGATACTCCCATAAAACACTAAATAACGAATCCAGTTTTATCACTTCATTATACCTTGTCGTCAAATTTCCAAGAAGGCAGTCAATGAGGACATAAAAAACTTCATGTTTGAATTTGTTCTCGGGATTTTGGTAGTCTGCTACATCTTCTGCCTCGTCTGCAAAAAGCTTCCTTTTCTTTTGTCGGAGAATGAATCCCTAATCTCATAGTTATCTGCTACTAATTTGGACTCACTCAAGATTGCATCCCATTCATCTCGTAAGCTTTTCAAATCTT